CGCTCTACAGAAATAAGCAGTGGTGCCCCTCTTCACCCATCGTGCATTGCCTGACTATTCTCAAGGATGTGGTTCACACAAAGTACACCAGATTAAATCAGACTCCTCCTCCTCCCCCTCACTGTTTTGTTTCTTACCTTTCTGCACCACTTTTTCCAAAATGTTCATGTAGTTTTTCTGGGCAATGCCACTCAGTGACGTCAGCTGAGACTTTGCTATCAGCTCCAACAGCTGTGGATAAAAATAGAAGTTGCAAGCCTTAGAGCACAGAGATACCTTTCTAATCTTGACTCCTGGTCACATGACACAGCAAAACAGTCCAGAGACTTGTTTGCTGCTTGAAAATAAAAGGGAGACAGAACAACACAATAAACTAAAGCAAAGGAGGAGGAGAGCAGAGGCCAAATAATTAAACTCATATTGAAAGGGGTGGGGGGAATTCTAATAATCTTCAGGGAAAAAAAAAAAAACAACTTGATTTTATGGTTCAGAGATGCAAAGAAACCACAGAGCAGTGATCAGACTGACAGCCTCTATTCACACCGAGGGAACAACGAACAGCCAACGTCACTGTCCTTCACTGGGGATAAACAAGCAGTGTCATAAGGGAACACGAGCGAATGCCTGTTTGGATGGGGATATTATTGATGGGGCATTAATGAGAATCAGACTCCACAATTTACGTCAAACTCCTGGGTTGCATGGGTTTTGTCAGAGCACTGTCACCACGACAAAAAGGTTAAGCACTATATTAAAAACAAGCCCTCCCCCAACAAATCTATTCTCCTGAGGTTTCCTCCTCCCTGTTCAGCTCTTACAGCTGCAACACCAAATCACCTCTCCCTGTTTGTCCTCCTTACTTGTTAACCTCCCCTAATAGAAATCCTGCTCTTGCTTTCGATTAGGATTTGCTTCCCATCACTGATCTCTTGACTTCTGTACGAGCTGAATGCTGAATTTAGGCTGCAGTTGCTAAAGGAAGCATTTCCCATAGGGAAGATGCCCTCTCCTCCCCAGCTCCCTACCACCACGAGAACAGCTGTGGAAGTTTCCTGTGGATCATGCTCTGCAGAACATGTGGCCCATGATTTTCCAAGCTTGCCTCCCTTCCCCCAGGATTATATAAATACACAGACTATCCACGTGTCAGTCCGTTTGTTTTGGATGTACATAGTCTTCTGTTTTAATTTAGAAAGGAAAGGAAAAACCTTTTATGCTACAAATCAATCAACACTTTACCACATGACTAGGTTTATTAATCCTTTATCATCTGCAGCTACGGTATCCCGTTGCTGGCACTGCAGAGAGTCCAGAGAAGGTGCAACTGCTTGTGTCAAGTAACTAAGATGGCTTTTGACAAGACTTGATAAGTCATGAACTGAACTGTTTGCCCTGCTATGAGAATGACAGGAACGTATCCAACAAGTCACTGGCAGCTTGCCATGAAGTGGGGAGTTCAGGGAGAGGCATGACCGCAGTCATTCGCCTGCTCTGCTTGTCTCAGGCACTGGCATGTGACTGCCAGTTCGGAGCAGTGAAGTTGCCTAGAGTGACCGATCTCTTCTTCCGTTTAATTTCCAGGCCAACATCACCATCAGATGGCTTTGAGTTTACATTCTATTAATATCTTCCACCTTGCATGACTGAAAGAAAACAAGATGAAAAAGACCTGCGCTAACCCCTGTGAAGGGCAGGCTGCCTGGTTTCTTGGCCCATTTGCGGGAAACCAGAGATGCAGGAGATCTGGGTAGTCTTTGGTGCGCAAGCATCAGTGGATCCTCTTGCTGTATCAGCTAAACTGAGACCACAAGGACTAGGTACTCTTAAGGCAGTTTGCAAGATGTTTGTAAAGTTTTTAAAAAAAAGTCTTTTTAATTTCATGAAATACTGGAGGAAGAAGAAAAAAACATCAGTGTCCCAAAGCAGCATGCAATACTCTGCTTACACTACACTATTTAGACTTCAGACCTTTGATTATAGAGATCAGCTTGCCAGACTCCATCTGTACATTAGCTACGCATGCACCCAGATCAGCTCTTCTGTGCATAAACAACTGCTGTCTCCAGATTGCATCGTTCTGGAACTGGCACCGGGACAGCTTCCTCCAGGCTGGGTGTTAGCAGCGTTGTGCCTGTTACTGAAAATGCCAAAATGCATCCAGTGATGAGCATCATGTAATGCAATCCCGTAAGAGCTAGAAGCCAGGGCCATTCTTTAAGAGACATAAGGATAAAAATCTCAGTTCCTTGAAGAATGCTAAATTGGTACAAATTTAATTTACAAAAGGAACAGATTCAAATTTGCCTTGTCTGTGTTTATCAAGGTTCAATTTATGTTCAGTGAACCAGCTCAGATATGTGTCACCTCCCTTCCCCTGCAGCAATAAACACAGGATGAAATTCCATATGAAAACTACGTTGTGAATACTTCTAGGACTACTCTGCTCCCCAGGGACTGCTGGCTGAAGTGACATTTTTTATTCTTCTGTGCTCATATGATACACAAAAAAACAGGTAAGTAATACAGTTCATCTGTGCCCCATGTGCTCCAGTGCACTGAAGGTCTTTCAGTGTTGGCACAGACCCAGCAGAGTACGGTCCCAGTTAATGGACTGCCAAATTGGGGTCTACAGCATTATAAAAAAATAAATCAATGTCACGATGTGCATAATACTGACTAAAAGCAGACTGATGAATTCAGATTAATGATGAGTAGGGTAAAAAGGCTGGAGAGCTGCAAGCATGTATTATGATGCGGTTGCATTAAGTCCAGCCCACACTCAACTGAGAGGGACAGATGGTAGGAGAGACTGCACAGGGAAAGGTTAAGAGCAATTTTAAGAGACCTGCTTTTCAAAAACACTGAGTGATTGCATTCCAGCCAATTTTAACTGGAGCTGGAAAGTCTGCAATACCTCCAGAAAAACAGGGCATTAGATCCCATTTCACTCTTAACTCCTAGGAAGTTGAAAAATGTGACCTAGTAGCTTCCTCCAGGAAAATCCTTCCTACCATCTCACCTGTATTTTTTTTTTCTCAGGGGTCTGCAAGAACCAAGGAGAAAAGGCAAGAGATGCAGTGGGTTATTCCAGAGCCTTTGCAAAGCTGGCAGGAGGCAGCATCTTCCACAGCAGGGTGATAACCTGCTCAACTTCCCCATGAGCATGATGGGCTCCTGCCCCGCTAGCAGTCATTCCAAAGCACTTGGTGCAATGAGCCACGTAGCTCTGGGAGCAGAGCAGGTCCTCTTCCCATAAGCACAAGAAAAAAACAAGGAACCAAAAGTGCCATGTGGCAGGGAAGAAGGGCCTCTGTTTCAGGGCCCTGAAAACATGCTGCTCTACACCCATGACTACTGGGCACAGCATTGCTCAGAGCTGCTACAACCAGATGGCACTTCTGCCACTGTCTTGGTTCAACACGGGTGTGTGGGCAATTCATACCCCAAATAATCCACAGCTAGAGGCTTACAGCAGCACACAGAGCCAAAACATCCTCAGCAGGCCTGCTGCACCAAGCAGGAGGGTGTAACCTTGCGTCAAAAGGGGAAATGTTTTGTAATGATTAAAATCACAAGTCTCAAACTACTGAAGTGTAAATCCCCCTCTGAATACCTCAAATCAGCTATAGGGAAGCCAGACTGCACCCTGTGGGGATCCATAAGCTCCTACTGGTTGGGGATGGGACTCCTCACATCTGGACTGCTTAGAGAAACATACTGCAATGAAAGCTTCCTCCTCCAGTCCTCCCTTGCTCTCTCAGCCCTTCACCTTCTGTGGCTGAAATGTCACACTAGCTTTGGGCTGGGAGGTAGAGCAAGGCGAGTTGGAATGATTTACAGCGCAGGTGCTGACAGATCTCCCTGAGACTGCATTGAGCTGATACTCTTTCAGCACAGCATAAATCCAGGACTCCCGGAGCTAACTGCTATAAAAACTTAAGAAACAAATTTAAGAGACTACTTTAGCAGGCTGCACGCTGTCTAGATCATGTTATTCCAGAAGAGCTGTGCCCACACAGCTTAACCTGACCTCAGCTTTTATGATCACAAACAGCACCTTCCCTTGAGACATTACTCCACAACCGTCATATGACAAACCTTTCTGAAGGAAGCAGCCTGCAAAACCTCACTGTCATCTGAACACAGTGTTCCCAAAGGAGAACCAACAAATTCTGGGCTGTAGGCACTGTCTCTCATATTACTTATGCTTACAGAATGCTTCCAGTCTTTTCATTAAATCCATAAGACCAGAGAAACCAGGACTGCAAGACCAATAACATTTTGGGTCCTCTGGGTCAACCACACACTTCCTTCCTACCTCTAAAAAGGGAACATTGTCCTGTAACACGTAGGCAGATGCTAGAGTTTAAAAGATCAGTGAGGACCAAGTCATGGCACCAACACCTATACTTAGCACTTCCAGCACCATATCAGCAGACTGTCAAGACAAGATTGATGTTGGAAGAAAATTTCTCCTGCTTCAGTTACATTAATTCACTGGCCACAGCTAATGGTATTTGCCCATGAAAAATACCTGCCAAGCTTCTTGCAGCTCACACCTCCACCTCACTTGAAGGAGGTACCTGTTTTATCAGAGCACTATTAGGAACATCAATAACTTAGTTTGGTTGTATCTTAAGAAGTAGACAAGTCTGTACAACAAAAAAACAGCACTGAAAATCTTGTAGCACTCAAGTTCAAGGAAATTCAAAAAGGAATGCTTCGAGAAAGTTTGGGTGTAGCCAGCAGAATTCGAATCCTGCAGCTGTTCCTCTCTTTTCTTCCCCTACAGACATCCCCATATCCTCCCCCAGCCTCCAACTCTAAACTTCCCTCCTTGGAAAGCATTTGCTTGCTGAAGTAAGTAGCGTGACATTAATCAGATACCCTGAGCAATGGGTGGAACTAGAGAGAACAAGGAGAGAGGGAAGGGAAAAATGTTTTGCCTGCCAATGTTCAAGGCATTTTCCATGTGACAGATTGCTCATCTGTGTGCTCTAGGAGGCCTGCGATTTGCAAAGGACCATAAACAAGATCCACCTCTAGGCAGAGCTTTTCATGAGTAAATCTGGCACATAAGGCATTTTATGAGCTACTATCCACCGGAGACTTGGCCGATACAAGACTTTCATTTTAAGAAGTCAGTTTTATATTTGATCCATGGTACCAGGTTTAATATCTTCTTTAATCTGCCAAACCACAAGTCAGCCTCAATTAGAAAGCTCCATACTTCTCAGTAGTGCTGTATCCTTAAAACTACTGGGGAAAAACTACTCTTAAAAGCTCAGAAGAGAGGTAGTTTTTTGAAACAAGGACACAGGCTGACTTCCATACGGAACACTGCTATTTTGGATACATGGCTGATTTGGGATGCTTTTATGAAGTCCTCATGGAAAAAAAAGGGAAGAAGGTCAGCCTGAGCCTCCCCACCAGATCACACTGACTTCACTGAAATTTGAGTTTGCTCTTCAAAAACTTTAATGAGACTTCTGCTCAATCATTCCAGTCCCATGTGAGACACCAATCACACCGGGATGAGCAGAAGCCCATCATGTGGCACAGCAGGACCCGAGGCTGCGCTTAGCAGGGGTGTTTGGAGTTCACTGTTGTCTTAAGACAGGAAGTCTGCCAAAGGGATCTCTGAAGCACCAAATACAAGTTTTATTTTATTGTCCTCCTTTATGTTTGACTAAAGGGTTATAGCCTTGGCATGAATTGCTCCTTCCACAATAATCCCCCTGAAGATGATACGGTTGTGTATATATAGCTGGTATCAGAAAACACTGAGTACCTCAGCACTGGTGATCACCTTCTCTGCACAAGCTGAAAAACAAGTTGTCCCAAGACCAGCAGAGCCAGGACAGCCTGAGTTTCCAGGGACTCATACCCCACCTTGCCTCCCTCAGAATCCTCAGTCCCTGCCACCACCCCTGCAGTGGGACATCCAAGCCAGTGCCCTTCCAGCATAGCAGGTGAGTAATCACCCCCAATGCCTGCACCCTGCCCCGGGTGACAGAGGTTTTCACAGGCTCCTCCTTGTCACCTAGACAACAGATGAACAAACCAAGGTGAACTTGCTCAGATCATTTCTTCCTTAGACACTTTTTCATGACATTTGACTCAGCAAAGGGAAAGCAATACCAATGCTGCTTGATCCAGAACCTAAAACCTGAACAGCTGGTGTCTCATCAGTGATCAACTGCTGATGAGATGTGAAAAGGAGCCGTTTATAAACAGCTTCAAGTTAATAACAGATTTTTTTTTTTTAAGCTTATTGAATTCCAAACCTTGATAAGCATTCTGAAATTTGAGATCAATTTTCAGATCACATGCACATAAACATACAGCCTTCAGGACAGTAGCTCCTCCAACCACTACCACCCCCCTTGGCCACCCAGAGCCAAAATCTGATCTGTTATGCAAAGCCAGAGCATGGGGAACCTGAGGCTGATGACTCCTTCCTACCAACTGAGGGTGTCAGGACTAACCAAATGCTTCACCCACTGAAACCACTGCCAGTCACGCAGGATTAAGACCAACCATGATCCTTAACAGAGGAGTGAAGATCAGTGCCTCCAAGAGGTAGCCCATCCTCTCATTCCCAAAACATTCAGCTCCTCCCCAGGGTCTCTCCTGTATCACTTCAAAGGATCATGAAGGATCTTCATCTCAAAGGAGATGAAGCTCCACAGCCCCTATGCAAAGAGGTCCCCACTGCTCTATGGCCGCTGCAGAGAGCCCACGCTCCTTTTGGGGCTACAGAAATTGCATTTAGAACCTGAACTGAGAGCTCAGGAATTATAAGTTTTCTGGTTTTCAGAAATTAATTTCACAACTGAAAAGTAGTAGGAATGCTAAGTGAAGGATAGCCCATGTTCTACTTTACCACCATCTCCCACCCTCTCCTTTTTAACAGATCAAAGAGGAGATCTGGGGCATCTATCCAGACAACGTCCACCAGCGACTCCATGCAGCAAAGCCCAACAGCCCCACTTGTATGCTCAGACCTCTTTTCTTTGCCAGTGCTTCCCATCACCCAACTGGTGCTCACTTCAGAGCCTCCACCACCACCACAGCAAAATATACCCTGGACTTTCACTCACCCTCACGACATAGTTGAATCGCCTGGAGTCCAGGATAGCACTGGAGAAGTCAAGTCGGTTGAAAGCTTCTCCCAAGGTGCAGTAACCATGGCGCTGAGAAGAAAAAAACAGTCTGGGTCATGTTTTGGCAGACACGAGTCCAAACAGCATCAGCAAGACGTGACCCAGGGCAACTTAATTTAGCAAGCCAACGGGTACAAACCATGGGACCAGCTCACGGCTGGAGAAGGCAGGCCTGTCTCCCACAGAGCTGCACTTATTAACGTCAAGAATGGGCACGGCCCAATGTACATTATGGTAGCTTCCCAAGAGTGACCCAAGCTCTGCTCATGACCCATGAATTTGTGGGTGAGAATGAGCCACACATTCCTGGGGTTCAATATATATTGTGAGTTCAGAGCAGTCTCATGCGGCCACTTCTCTCCATGAGTGCAAGCAAGCTGTTGTGATGTATTCCAATGATTTTCCATGTTAGGACTTTATTGGGTGAAAGCCAAGAACAGTATTATGGCTTGGTCTGCAAATGGCTGGGTTTTTTGGGTTTTTTTTTGGTTTTTTTTTTTAACTGAGGGAAGCAAACAAGTCATATTTTAAACATATGTACAGAGCCTTGTACAGCAAGCCCTGGCTCCCTGATTGGGGCTTAAAATCATTACTGAAATTCCAACCACAAGCCAGATCTTCCACTTATCTCTTAAGAGCTTCTGCTGATTTATATCAGCACAGGAGCTTCCACTGCTTGGAAAAATCAGTTGAAAAGGGAACAAAGAACCTACGGAGGCACTCACCTCCTTTGTGCTCCCCTTGTGAACATAGATCCACTTCTCCTGGTGGAAATCTGTTTGGACAAAGACATTTTGCTCAATTAATTGTGCACCTTGCAGAGGGTTGGATCTCTGTTCTGCTCACAACACTTACTGCCCTTTTAGTGCAAATGAAGTTATTTTGTGTTTACACCACTGCACTTGAAAACAAAACTCACAACTTGCTGAGCTGCTTTGTTTCTATAGTGCTTCATTTGATACTGCAGCCCTAAGCCTTAGAAGGGGCTTCTGTGTCAGTGATACAACTCAAGACTGTAAATGTTTAATTTGCCAGCCACAGATATACCACATCACCTCCTCTTCTTTTGTCCCAGACAGTAAGTGTGGCTGACAGCCAGGTTTTGTTGTTATTGATTTTATTAACTATTCATTACCTTGGTTACAGGCTTGGGATTGAATGTCAAATTTGAAGTTGAACAAAAATGTCATGAGACACCAGGCATGTGGGAGAGAGCTTTTAGCAGTGAGGTCAGGCTCAGAGGAGCATGCTTGTGCTTGCAGCTAACTTGCTAAAAAAGAAAAGCCTATTTGGGACCCAAATTTTCCTATTTCCAATTGCCTCTTCCTTCCCTCAGAAATGGGAGTTGTCCCATCCACTCCCCAAAATAACTTCTCTGCACCCACCACAGTTTGCAGAAAGTCCTTACTTTAACAGCAGTTATGCTGCTCAATCCTTCTCCCACCCCATTCCCATGGGCTTTCGACCCTTCTTCCACCACACACTGGCAATTTAACAGCCAGTGTAAGAAAAATTCTTTTCCCTATCCTGCTAGACCCCTTTCCTTAAAGGAAATATTGTGCTCCTGGAGTCTTTTTCCACCTAAGGATACAGCAATGTACTCCTGCCTGGTCCTGTGAGCCCAAGGACAAACCCGGTCTCAGTTACAGGCACGCAGTCCCTGCATCAGGCCCTTTTAAATAGCAAGTCACAGCAGAATCCAGCCAAAAACTGTCATGGTAACATTTGTTTGTTCAGAGAACCGAATGCACAGAGGGGCCAGATTTTGGCATCCATTTCCAAAATCCTGGGGGATGCACAATGAGCTAATAGGAGTGTGGGAATTGTAACTCATTTCCTCTGTGTATGTTTACATTTGTAGCCTTCACATCTAACTCCAGTACCTATCTTGCAATCAGACCAACGCAGACCTTGCTGTCCCTGCAGGCTCCCCTGAGTCCTCCCACAGTGTGCCATCTGAGACCCCGGCTGCTCGCTGTGCACACAGAAAGAATTCAAACCTTCCATTGTTTTGAGCAAGCTGAAATCTTATTTCATTTTTCATGCACTCTGCGCACAGAGATAGGATCAAAGCTCACATTCAGGCTTGTAGCCTCCAGTAATGTAGATTAGTACTCAACATGCATATGGAAGGGAGAATAAATTTAGACTGTTGTGCACAAGGAAGTCTACAGGGGGAAAAAAAAACTGGAACCAGTTCATTTGAATGTACCATAGGAAAAAATTACCCCCGTTCTGACAAACACAAATGACAAATTTGAACACAACAAGCACGACTCCTCAGAGCAGGGATTACTAACAGGGGCATAAATCTTCACATTAAACTGTATCCAAGTTCTCTACTTAGGTCAAACATGGGCGCAAAGCCCTTCGAGACACTCTGGAAGACTCCTCGTGCATTGTGCAAAAACCATAGATATGAAGCATTTTCCATTCTCCTGCAGCAACTTTTATTAAAAAAAAAAGCCCAAATAGACATCTTACATTGAATCTTGGTTTTGTTATTCAGCAGGTCTTTTTTTCTCTTCTTGGCAGCAACATCATAGTTCAGACTGTTGAAGAGATTCTCTTTGTTGTGATCGTCCTTTTTACAAAAGCTGTGAATGACACAAAGCAAGGATTCTGTTTATTTCTGCAGCTTGCTGAACACTATGTTTCCTGCAAGGAGAGAAAATACACAGGTTTTCATTGCGAGCTCCAAAGCTGCCCCCTTGCAGGCTGCTCTCGAGAAGTCTGCATACAGTTTTTGCATCCAGTAATGGCATTTTTAAATGAGCCTCCAGTGCCTCATTTCTGTGGTAGCTAAGATAACAGACAGGAGCAGGTAATACAGATTGCTCAGTTAGTGCGGGGACAGTGCTGAGCAGTATTCTTTTCCTCCCTTTAACCTGCTTCTATCTTTAAGTAACACCATATCCTCCTACTCTAGGTGGCAGCTTCCTCTGAGGCAGTCAGAATTCTACAGAACATATTTAGACATCTGAGGACATACATATATATGCATTCAAAATATTTATTAACAAAAGAGGCCCTAGAAAACATTCTTTCAAGCTTACAGGAAAAGCTCAGCTGATGTTCAGACTTGGCTGGTGGTTTTAGAAAGCCCACATAGTAGTGATTGTGCAAATTAACAGCTGGGATCTCTTGTCCAAGACTGCCCATCTTCTGCATTTGCTGGAGCTCTGCCGTAACTATATTATTAGTGAAGGGAGCTATAACCCCTTATTTTCTTAGAGGGCAATGAAAGACTACCTATAAAGAGGCTGTACATTAAGATCTCCACATTCTGCAGACCTGCAAATAACAAGTACCAATGTGAAACTGAGAAGCCTCCACAGAAGCCACAGCACTGCAGCACAGATCCCTGGGGGTGGCAGGGGAAGGCAGCACCCACCAGCAGCTCTCAGCAGAGGACCCCTGCACACAGCATGCTGCCCAGACCACAGGGATGCCTTGCAGGTGCTGGGGAAGACGTGTGATGCAGCCAGGAGAATGAAGGAGAGCCGCCCTCACAGTTCTAGCAGCTCACAAGGGATGGGAGATAGCTACCTGCAGGTTTAAATTGAAAGAAGGGTCCCAGGCACCCCACTGCTGCTGTGGGACACCCCAGAGCTCCAGCAGGCAGTGAAATGTGCTGCTGCTCACAGGGCTGGGCAAGCTTCCTCTGTGACAGCCACGAGGACCCTCACGCAGCCAGGCTGCTTCCTCTACAGCCCTCATGTTTACACTGTTTAGCCTCAAAAAACCCCACGCAAGCACCATGCCAACTCAAACCTCCGACAGCTATTCCACACAGGTTCCTGCAAAGGAATGAAACCTGCAGGACAAGGCTCCTGTTTTCCCTGCTGATACACAGGGTCACCAGCCCAGGCCCACAGCCAGGGGAGGGAGGTTTGCTGTCTGTCAGCACCACCAGCATGTGCAGAAGTCAAGTGACCAAGTCAGAGTTTCAGCCCCATGAGGGGCCCAGACCTCCTCCAGCAGTGTCCAGCTCTGGTTTGTCATCTGCACATGGCCCCAGAGGTAGAGGAGACCTCCTCCCAGCTTCAGGACAGCACAAGCCTCAGCTCCCCCTTCCTGCTGCAAGTCCCCCCTTGCAGGACATCACAGCTGCAGGGACAGCACCAACTCCTGGAGGCTCCATCACAACACTGCAGAGGGGGAACAGCAGCAATGCAGGTGGACAATATTCACAGCAACAGCTCGGGGAACCAGACACTACCAGCTGGAATTGGCTCAGAAGAACCTAAACCTGAGAGCAGAACATCTCAGCTGCACACTTCCCCCATCCACCTGGCCTTCTGCTGGGGGGACAAAACCTCAAGAACAGAGTATGGCAGTAAAGAAGCAGCGGTTTTGAGATGTTCAAGCTCATATTTTATCAGGGTTGCACAAACTCAACAACAGGCCAGGTTAGCATGCCCCATGCAGTGGCGGAATACAAGTCCAAGAGCACAAGACAGATATGCTTTAAATCTTACATGTCAACAGCACACCCTTGACTGTTGACTTCCTACTGAATGACTCTGTAATCTGAAACCTTCATAACAACAGCCATGGACAAATTCCAGCTTGGGAGGCAGATTATTCCCCTGGTTATGTACTGCCAGGTTTCCACACGCTTCTCTAAGGCATCTTGACAGGTTGAACAGTTGGGCACCAGGACCTGGCACTGCAAGGACCTCAATCTGGGGCCAGTATGTCACCTCCTCACTTTTTAATGGGCAAAGGGATGTGTAAACCTGTGCCAAACTCAATATTCCCAACACACACTACCACCAGCCAGACATTTTCCTACCTGTTTACAAATCAGATGCTTTGGATTCTAAACTTTTTATTTACAGCTTGCATAAAAAAAGGACAAGAGACAGAGCTCCGCTACATCAACCTCCTTGCACAATAACATCTCAGCAGAGCAAATCCGTTTGCTCCAAGACCCTTTGTCACAGACATTCCTGACCCATCCCTCAGCCGGGTCGCAGCAAACCCAAACCTGACCGTGCAGTGGCTGAAAACAAGACGCAGCTCTGCAGGAGAAGTTTGGTTTTGACAGGAGCGACGTGGCCAGAGCCCATCACACCCACGCTGCTGCTGCTGCTGCAAACGCTTCCTGCCCACAGCCACGCAGCTCCGCGCTGCTTCACCATCTTGGGGGTTCTGGGGATGTTTTGCTGCCAGATGAGTCAGGTACATTACTCATGGTCTGGGGAAGATTCAGGGCTTCAGACACATCACCCTTCCCCAGCCCGAGGAGAGGCTGCTTTCTGGGGGGGGCACACACACCTCCAGGGCCCCCCAGGAGACACAGAGCGGCGCTCCCCGAGGTCACACCGCCCAGCCCGGGGGGCACAGACTGCTTTCACCTTTTCCTCGCTTCTCCACCTCATCCCGCGGCCGCAGGG